TAATGAGCTCAAAAGGGTACAACTCTCACTTTTCTCCACTTATTTTGAGGAATCTATTAGTCAACCATTTATATAAGTACTCTGACTACTTCTGTTTAGTTCTGTATTTAATTATTTATAATTAGATGGCTGCAGTGTCCTAGGCCTGGTGAAGTATGTGGGTGTTAATGCACGGCATTTTTATTATTGCATGTTCCTTCGTTGACCTTTAGTAGTTATATTCAGCCAGTACAGTTTAGAAGTGCCTTCAGGCTTGACGGGTTGAGTTTACTAGGGAGCAGCTCAACAGAGGTGGCCTAAAGCCACTATGAAGAACATATTTCTCTGTCCTTGTTTGCATTCAAAAACAGGGCTTAGGTTGTTTTTTTACCCCCCCCCTTTTTTTTTTGATAATAAGTTTATTTCTCCCTGTGTGGTTAGTGAAGGTTTTAGTATAAACTTTATCAAATCAGAATAGTTATGCTGCATGTAGAAATACTGAACTAATAATAATTGGGTATTCCTGATACTTTGTTTTTCATTGTAACTGGGGTAGTAAAAGAGGTTTTTTGTTTGTTTTATTTGCTAGTTATGCAGTTTGAAGGTAGAAGTGGATATGGAAAAAATTGCAGCTGAAATTGCTCAAGCTGAGGAACAGGCTCGCAAGAGGCAGGAGGAAAGGGAAAAAGAAGCAGCTGAACAAGCTGAACGCAGTCAAAACAACATAGCAGCTGAGGAAGAACAGGCAGCTAACAAGATGGAGGAGAAGAAAGAAGAGGAGAGTGCTCCAATGGAGACAGGTAACTGTATTTAAAGAGCAGTTTAAGAATCCTGAAAGGATTGGCTTTAAAGTATCTCTGTAGAGGCTCAGCATAGCCAGGGAGGCCCTACACTTTTGTTGTTAGTCAGAAGGCTTCTTCAGAAGAACACTCAGAAGAGTCAACTTCATCTTGGTGAACACAGGTGTTTGCTTTCTTCTCATTAAGTTGTTCCTTTTTAAAAGGGTAGAGGATATCACAAAGCCAGTATGTAATGCTTGGTGTTTAAATGTACCCAAGAAAAAAAAACATGATTTCTGAATGCCTTCTAAACCTAACTCATCTCTTAAACATGTTAGCTAGGAACGACTGAGAGTGTTTCCTTGTCCTACTGTCAATATCTAGCAAGGATGCTAGGTGACAGTGAATCATTGCTGAAACAGCATAAGGGAAAGTGGAAGAGTTGAATTCTAGTTTAATGAGGTACAATGCTTGGTGTCCCGACTTCTGAGGTCGGGCTGCAAGTGACTGTCAGGATGCCATGTGGCAGGACCGTGTACATTCTAAGTACCGAGTGGTCTTTCAGAGCGGTGCTTCTACTGCACATTCTAAGTAATAAATAGTTGTTATGAAATACTTGGATTTACTACAGATTCTATTTCTTCCTAAATTGTAATCCCACCACCTAAATATATAGGTATATAAATGACACTGAGAAATATTTCATTACAGAAGAGCCTCACCCAGAAGAGAGCACAGAAAACCAGCAGAATGGTGAAGAAGGAACATCTACCCCAGATGATAAGGAGAGCGGCCAAGAAGGGGTTGATAGCACTGCAGAGGAAGGAACCAGTGACAGCAACACTGGTTCAGAGAGCAATAGTGCGACAGTTGAAGAGCCTCCTGCAGACCCTATCACTGAGGATAGTGAGAAGAAAGAATAAACATTGACTTGTTTCATGTGTCTCTTTTTAATGAAGTACTGTTTTGATTTCAAAATGTGCTAAGCAGCTTTTGTATCTTCCTTGCTTGTATCACTTGTCTCCAAAGGATATTGGGTTTTAGTAACACTTCGTATTATCAGCATAGAGACTTGAAGGGCCCTTTAGGGGCAAAGGGTATCTTAAAACAGGCAGAAAACACCTCGTATAAATACAGTGATAAAATATGAAGAGATACTACTGTTTGGAATTTCTTCCCCAGAAAGATAACTGGTTTTGTTTTTTATATTAGAAATCAGGATTTTTCCCCTCTTTCTAATCACATGCCCACAGTGGAAATGCAGTTTTCCTTCAAGGCCCTTCTTCTTCAGTTGTGGCTGAATGAGATGCAGATGGGCATCACCTCTCTGCTGGGTTCCTCTTGATCTAGCTTTGCTGGTGGACTAACAGCCCCCACGCATCTCTTGGTTAGGGTAAGGGAATGTTACACTGGGAGCTGGGAAGCTTGTACCACGATCACAGGCTGATGAAGCAGCACAATTGAGAAACATGCGGTTAATTGTACTTGCCTTCTAGACAGGGTCAATGTTACTGAGGCATCTTAAAGTTGACCTTAGTATTAAGTGATGATGCATAACCCCTGTACTTTCTGTGTATAACCTTGGTCTAACAAAACAAAAAAACCACAGCAGCCTAGCACAAGTTACCACAACTATTTCTGTTCTTGCCACCAGTGATGTCTACTGTAGCTCCCCAGTTCAACAGTTGTAAAGAAAGCTTTCATTACTCCTAAATAAGGCTGCTGCAACACTTGGACTTGTGTTTTTTTTTTAATATAATCTTTATTGTATGAATAGAGTAGCTATGCAACACGGAAGGAATCTTGCTCGTGTTACGCATGCGATACATCTGGGGATACATTTCCAAATGATGTAAGAGTGCAGTTGTCTTGAAGTATAAGAAATCTAGAGGATTTTTTTTTTCTGTGATACAGGATTATTTCCAACAACAGTCTTTGCTCTTCTCCACTATTTAACTCTTTTATTTGCTACTGAGATATCGTAATAGGACCTCAGCCAGAGATCTGGCAAAATACAAAGCAGGAGAATTGAAACATGTTATTTGCTCTCAGAGAAAGTAGTCATGAATGCAACGTAAACAGTAGAAAACAGTAGTTCTGCTTGCCATGACCTTTCAAAACTTCTAGGAACTCTACAAAAGTATTGAAAATGCTACATTTTGCCCTGTACAAACAGAAGTCCTATTTGAAGAAAAAAAATTACAATAGATACAAGCTGTTCTATCAGTTTCCTACTGTAAGAGGACATATGACGCATATGCTTCAATAGTGTGTTTTTATGGCTGTTTTATAAATTTCCAACTGTAAGAACATATGATGCATATGCTTCAATGAACTAGCGTGTTTTTATGGAATAGTGGGTATATGAGATGGTATTGTTTTTTTAAATCCTTTTTTTTAATGGTCTAAAAATAATAAAATCCAACTTTTTTTTTAAATTTACAGTGGTCTGGTTCTTGTTTCCTAAGGCAGTGCCTGTATTTTATGTATGGCTTTTATCAGATGCCCTCCATCTTAAGGCCAGAAGAATGAAAACATGGAACTCATTATTGAAATATGTTAAATATGAAAAGCTATGCTGCGGGAGCACTTTGAAAAATCAAAGCAAAAAAACTGCTGGGTTGCTGTAAGCTTTTGTTTAAATGCTAGCTAAGTCTAGAAGGAACTCTGGTGACAGCTTTTGACTAAGAGCCAGTGAATAGGGGAATTTGTGGAGGAAATAATACAAGTAGTGATGAACTTGTGATCTTTTCTCCTGTTAGCTTTTAACTGCCACCTTCCAAGTTGACAAAGCATTTTCACATTACTTTAAACAAAGTGAAATTTCCACCCCAAAGGGCTGTAAGGCATATATTTACAAAAGGGAATGATATGAGGAGTAAGATGCACTTATGGTCCTAATACTTAATAGCCAATTTTTATGATTAACTACCATGCATTCTTCCTGACTTCACAAGATTCCATGAACTGATTTGCACGTTTCTGCTTGGAAGTGGTTATTGAACAGGCATTACAGTGCAGTCTCATGTACACATTAAAGAGACTCTTCAGAGACACTGCCTCATAGTTTACAATTTTGTTTCATACTCCCAAGAGACATTCACCTTTCAGCAGCTGGTGCTGAGTCGAAGTTCTTTGTTCAGTTGCCTCCAGTAGTTCTTTTTGTGTTGGTTCTTCTGTGAAATCGTATAATTTAGTGCAGTTCTACGGAACGGATTTAAATCTTACTGCAGATGTCAAGACAACCCTGCAAACAAATGTGTCGGTCTCAGGCACTGCACCCTGTGGGCGAATCTGAACATGCTTGTTCAAGTGCTGAGGGAGAATGTGTATATGAACAGTCAAATCAATTCCTACAGACAGCACTGCAGCTTACTGAAATGTGCAGGCATGCGAGCACTTTTATCTACCAGCGACAGCTGCAGAGAAGATGGTTGCAAAGCACAACTGGAAACAAAAGCAGAGAACTCAGCAGTGGAAGCCTTCCCCTTAGGAGCAGTCACACAATGAGCTACTCAAGCGAGAAATCTTGTATTTATCATCACTTTTTAAGGGAAAAATAGGAGTTCTGATACTAATGTGTTTGAAAAAAGGTGTTACCTTGGCTATACGGCTTGGCTTCAGTTTCTTACAAGGAAACCGAAACCATGGATGCTCCTTAATTTGGTTTATAAAATAATTAAAACAGCGAAACCTGCCTACAAATTTAAGTAATTTTTAGTTCAAAATCCCAGTCTCTCAGAACAGGCAAGTTGTTCTCATCATTATCCTTAATGTGACCACGAAGGGGTTCACGTGGAATCCGTTGGTACAGAAGCAGCAGGAGACTCCACACCTCAGGTGATGTGAACGCATGTTGTGCAACAGCTTTTATCTGTGCAACTGCCTTGTTTTTTGAAGACTGTTTGTGTTTTTCATCTGCTACATATTCTCAAGGTATATGTAAATAACAGTAATTATTGGCAAAGACAGGGTGTGTTACAGCTAAGGGTGTGTACCCGAATGAGTAGGTGTCATCTTCAAGGGTAAAATAACTTTTCCAAGCACACGAAAACCTGAACAAATGCCCAGTGTGTAGTGTTTGAAGCACTGACCAACCCCAGTGGTGGCTGGCAGAGGTGCAGAACTCCCAAAACTAGGAGGTGCCTGCGAGGGACATGAGCATCAAGGACCAGGTGTGGAAAAGGGGCCCAAATCAGTGCCTCTGATTACTGCCAGCTGCTGATGAAACACAGCACAGCATCCCTGAGCTGCCTCCTGTCTGGCTCACAGGACAGGAAAAAGAGAAAGACTGAAAAGCACGGGGAGCTGCACAGGGAGGGAATTAGGAGCACCAAGAGGAGACAGCACAAGAGAGCTGGGGGAGGCAATGGAGTACAGGGAAGACCTAGGAGAGCTGCAGCCGAGGCTATGGCACCGACCTCACAAGAAACCTGGTTCCTCTGCTGTGCTCCTGCAGTAGCCCCGTCTCACCCCACACTCCTGGGGTCAGCTCCTAGGAGAGCCTGACGCCTGCTTCCTATCTCCAGTTTGCTGGCTACCAAGGGCTCGGATGGAGAGCAGCCAACTGGAACTCCTGATGGACCAACACACCCACCTGGAGGTCCTCAGGTGGAGGACACCAAACCCTCCCATGAGGAAGATGGAATAGATAAAGCCCACCAGCTTGTTGTGCTGCTCCTGCCTGCCTCCTCCTTCCTCTGTTTTTTTTCTGTGCTTTGTTTGGAAAGTGGGTGCAAGCTCATAGAGTGCTGGGGGTCCTCCTTCCTGCAGCTGTGGTGAGTGTCCCCAACTCCTCCCAGGTGGGGGCAGATGTGGGTGCAGGCAGCAGTGTGTCTGTGTGCTCTTAGAGATGTGGGCTGAGGTCGCCTGCAGTGGGCCTGAGCCATCTCCTGTGAGATGTCTGAGAGCTGGCAAGTCTTTCACACCCACATGGGCCTGACAAGGAAACGAAGAGGCAAATCCAAAACATTGCATCATGGTGAGGGTGTTATTTTCTTTAGTTTGTTTTTCGCTTCAAGAAAAAACAGGCTTTTTTTGAGAGTCTGACTCATGCTTTTTGACCTCTGACATTGCTGCTGCTGCTCTACATCTCGCTGTTTGGTTTGTTCTATAGGTAAAATCAAGTAGGCAAAGGTTCTCTTTTGTATTTGGCAGTTCTCAAAAATATGCTTTTATCTCACCACACACACACACACAAAAATACTTAAGAAGCCTTTTTTTAAAAAAAAAAAAACTTTTTATTTCTTTTCCCTGTGTTAATGTAATTATCAGATTTTTATCACCCCCAAAACATTCAGACTTACAAAACTGACCTATAACGGTTACATAGCATGGAGCGGGCCCTAAAGTGTAAATGTTGAAATGTATTTAGATGCTGAAAACCTTTTGAGGTGCCTTTTGAGTTTGTTTATTTTCCAAAAGCAATTCGACAGGTAAAATACCTTGTTCCTATTGAAATCCATGTGACTTAGTATCTCCAGAACGTTGTGCACCTAAATACAATTTTGAAGCATTAATTTGCATATGTGGTTGAGGTTAGATCCCCAAGAAAGACAGAAGTCTCATGTTTGTTCAGCAGTTAAACGTTAAATATAAATAAATGGCAAAGCTAAGCAAGAGTTTAAAAACATTACCTGTATCACAGGGGATAGTCTTGCAAAGCTAATCTCCTTCAAGCAAAATGAGGACTTCAGTTGTAGGAGCTCTGCTTACATAAAGGATTATCCCTATGACAGAAAGGAATAAAACGGATTAATAGAGCTTTAGATGGATAAAATATCAAAGTAAACCAAACTGGCACAGACAGAGGCCAGGGCAGCTTGCTGCACGTAAGGAAATTGAGCTGCCATTCAAAGCATGATGTTGTGGTGATGCACAGCAGCTTAGAGGAAGCAGAAAAACAGTTTCCCCCTAAAGCAAAGGGGGCAGGTTAGGGGGACTGATTCCAGAGCTTTTTGATAGTGAGGTTAACCCTGAGACAAGCACACTCTTGTTGCAGTCCAATCTGGGTTGTGGGGAGATCTCAGCTGGCAGTAGTGGAGCTTCTGGGAGGAGGGGGATATGCTGGCAAGGAGCAAGCTTTTCTGGGCTAAGGGGGAACAGGTTCTGACCATCTCTGCTCAATTCAAAGTGGGCACTCAGTGAGATCTCTTATCTGTCCTGTGCTGTTTTCTCAGTTCCTGCCAGTTGTCAGTGTTCCACTCACAGCTTCTGTGTTTGCCCTGTGTCAAGGACTCATTGATGCCTCTTTTCTCCTCTCTTCCTCTCGAGTTCTGTCCTAAATCCCCACCTACACAGGCTTTGTTTTTGGTTTAAAAACAAAGAAGTGAGGGGAACTACTTTGGATTTTTTTTCCAACCAATTTATCAAAAGTTACTTAAAGTAAATGCCTTCAGATTGCCCATCAATCTAAAAACCCTGTGCTGACACAGTGCCATTAAAACTGCACTGCCTTTGCTCCTTTGCTTGCTTCTTTTCTGTCCTTTTAACTCTAGATGTTATTGGTCCTGCTGACAGCTGGAGGATTGAGAAAAATACTCCTTGTAGATTCAAAGAACTGGTGCTGATTATGTGTATGTCAAAGTCCATGAGCTAGAACAAGCGCTGCCACCAGGTGTCTCCCTTAACTTCCCTGTGACCTCTCTGCCTGGAGATGGATTATGAGGAAAAAGTCTAGTGCTAGTAATTATTGCTCTATTTTGTATAATATCCAACAAGTGTCAGCCAGGCCTAAAGCAGCAGTAGGTATTGCAGGATACATTTATTTTTTATTTTTATTTTTTTTTGGTTTATTTCACTGTGATCAGGGCATCCAACACAACTACCTAGGCTGTGAATTTAACTTCCTTCCACCTTGTAAGTCTGCTGGTTATACTGACACATAAGAAAACGCAAGCAAACACATTTACTTGCATGCCTCTGCTTGTGTCTGAGTGGCAGTTACGGGTTTCTAGCTTCATATAGATTACGGCAAATAGAAACGAAACCCATTAAAAAGAAATTAGAATCCATCATCTCTTTCTAACAAGAAAGAGCTGTAATGAAAAATGTTTTAACTGTAACAAAGGGATGCCTTGGGAGGCATTGAAAGAGGTTGTTCAAAGACAAGGTAGCCCACAAGCACACGGAGTAAAATCCTTTACGGGGCTGTGTAGCTGAAGCTTTAGAGGGTACCTGTCAAGAGAGAGGCTCAGTCTTCCAGCACTGCCTTCATGAAAGGACTGGCAGCTTGAACCTCTCAGTGTCTGCAGAAATTCAAAGATCGGCACTTTTAAGTTGCTCTTGGATAAATGTGATCAAAGTGAAGAGAAAAAAAATGTTTCCTCAGCATCAGCAAAAGGTTTGGATGGGCTGATCACAAGAAAAAGCCCCATTAACAATCCTGCAGCCCAGCATGTGTTGTCTGCTGCTTGGGAAGGATTTAGAGGGAAAAAAGGCATCCTCTTATTGCAAGGATGACTTGTTCTCCTACAGATACTGACATAAGTTCCATTTTGTTCTTGGATAACTTGACATGATCCTGCTCAGTAATTCTGCCATCGTTGATTCAGTTAGTGAATAGAGGTAACTTACAGTTACACTGATTTAACTTCCAGTGTGAATCAAGGTCACCTTAATTCTGGATATAATTGTCTTTATGTGGGCTTAATGCAGTTTAACTAATCCACTTTAGTTCAAGCACATTAATTTATCAATACATCCTTGTACACCAAAAAAATAATTGAAAATCAATCCAAAGCATAAGGTTTTTTAGTAACAGTTTCAGGGACTTCCAAGTGCAAACATTAAGTAAGTGTGAAAGTTCTTATCAGTGCTTTGTACCACAACCTGCCTGTTCTGCTGAGGAAGAGCAAGATCTCGAAGCAAAGTAACAAGCATGTTCTAGCAGGGCTGCAGACATGAGATGTAGGTGGAATAGTGAAAACATCTGGGTTTGTTGTCACTTAATCGTAGTGTATTTACAGCTACAGAGCTGAGCCCTTATTTTTCAGCAAGGCTGCTGCTGTGTGTGAGTGACCTGCAGCATCCTGTGAGCAGCAGATGAAGCCTTCTGCCATCACCCAACCTCAGTTTCTCCCTTTGGTAATCTATTGCGCTTGGAGTCACGTCAAACTGCAAACCGCTCTCATCATCTTACAGACACTGCACTCAGATGCAAACTTGCAGTGAGCTAGAATGTGGTTTCTGTCACTGGCTTGGATTTCAGCTTGAGCAGGAACAATCTTCAGGCTGCTGTCATCTTCTCATGGTTGCTTCTCTACTGAACTGGGTGCGATGCTCCACGTCTGTAATTCAGCACTTACATAACAGACAAGACACCACTTCTGCTAAATAGCTTCCATTTTGGAAAGGGGACAGGGAAGTGTGGTGTTTAATAAGCCCACCACTGTCAGAATTGTTTCTTCTAATGGTTAGAGATTGAGAACAGGGAATTCCGGATTAGAAACCTGTCTCTGCTGTCTGTCCTCAGTGACCCATTTTTCACACCTGACAGAGCAATGCAGGTGTGAACGTTGTAGGTGATGCTGTACAACTGTGGCAGAGGCAGCTTTAAGCCCTCTAGGCAGCTTGGACATAAATTGTGATTGGTATGCTGCAGAAGTGCAGTGTTTGATCATATTGGAGAGAGGAAAAGAGCTGTAATTGCACTCCCTTCTCCCAGGCAGAAACGAAGCAAGTCCGTTTCACATTAGGCTGACTGCAGCCAGAACTGTTTGTGCCTTGAAGGACCTTGCAACAGCTGATCAGGGTATCAAGGTTTTAAATAGTTAATCAAGTGCTTTTGATTCCTGGGTTTGAAGTCTGCTCTATGCATGCAGTGTCATGGATGGTGGGTTTTTATGGAGGGGGCTGCTGATAACCAAACGGAGATAGCTGCAAGATTACACGCTTGAAAGCATGGATGCTAGTTCTGGTTTAGGTCTGTCTCTCACTGTTTTTGTTCTTGGTTCCCTTCTTTCACTTTGATGCTTTTTTTCACAGTCCTCAGTTTTTTTCTTTGCTTTTTTTTTTTTGAAGTGGTTTTGCAGTTATTGGGCTGCTGTCTTATTTTGTTGTTAAATTATCACATACCGCTTCACTTCTGAGTTATAAAAGTCTAGAATTTCTGTAAACAGCTAGTTTCATCTTACATTTTGCAGCTCAGCTCTATTTAAAAAAAAGAAAAAGCAAAGAAAAAGACATTTTAAACCTGGTACCAATTCTGGAGTTTAAAAAAAAAAAAAAAAAGCCAAATGAGGTAGAGGGACTGTAGCAAGAAAAACCACGTGAAACATCAGCACTTCGGGTTGGTTTGTTTTTAACACCAGGGATAAAGAATGAGCTCTTCTTGGAGAAACTGGCAGGATTGTTCCACGCTTCCATACGCAGTCGTCTTCCAAAGGCTGCAGGGGACTGGTGTTAAATCTCCTGTCTTTTGAGCATGGTGATGCAGGCTCCTGGGAAGGATGCTTTCCTTATGGCCAGCTGACATTTCAGTTCTTTTGGGAGGCCTAATTACATCTCTACCCTCTCTTACATCTCTTCATCTCCCTGAACAATTCAGTGGTCACTAGTGCTTGATATCCCTTAGGCACCTACTGGCAGTTTGCACATCGGAGTGGGAACAAAGTACAGGGAAGGCTTGAAAACCCCAGGCATAACCAGTGGTCTTGCACCTTCTCTGACATCTTCCTATTGTGCCCCAGGAGTTTTTCTTCCCGTTTCTTGTCTCTTTGCCTTTTCTCTCCTGTCATTCTCACACAACCACTGCCTCTGTTTCATGTTACTGCAGGCCCCCAAATATAAAAATGGACCTGGTAGTGTGGGCAAGCAAAACGGAGCAGATCTTGCAGGAAGGCACCCAGCAATGACCTACAGGGTTTAGGACCAGCAGCATATGGGGCAGTGACTACCCTACATTTCCTTTGCACCTCAGCTTCAGCAGCCAGAGGTGCCTGTGCTGCTGACAGCTTCACCTCTCCCCTTTTGCTTGCATCTCTAGATACTTTTGCCTTGTCACAGCTCAATTCCTTGACTGCAAGGCGAGGAAGTTGTTTTAGTGCAGAGCAGATGCTAAACTGGTCAAAACGTGTTTTTGTTGAGTGGAAAGAAATGCCACCACCGTGACCTGATGCAGGCGTGGAGGAGGTGAATTCCCAGTGACACCAAGCATGTGCCCTTCCCTCCTGTGGCTGACCAACTGGCAGTAGCAATGGTGTGTCCCTGACACGAGCCTTCCTGCTGCGCAGATTGCTTCCTCTGCTGGGTGCATAAGAATCTGATAATAACCTCATAGTGAGATTATAATCATGAGATTTTTTCTTTCAGGGCATCCCCTAAAACCACTCTAAGAACTCCTCTCGGTGATGAATCCCAGCTTGGTACTGCTCTTAATGTCAGGAATTTACTTATAATTTCACTTCTGCTATTTTGTTTGCTTGCAGAACAACTGTGTTAAAGCCCTTCCTAGAGTAAACCTACTGACTTCAACACATGAACTTTCCCCGCATGCCTTATGAACGTCAGCTCAGCAGCTCGAGAGTTGAAAGAGTTTTTTGGGCAGGAGGCAAAACACGAGGTGGGAGATCCCACTTGCGCTGCTGGGCACAGCAGAACAACGGAGACGTCAAGGTCCCTTCTCAGCGTAAGAGGGATGTTACTGGGAAATGGGCACTTGAGCGACATTCACCCTCAACTCACCAACTTCTGCCTGGGTGACCCTGGCTTCCTACAGCAATGGGGAGAAACTCTCCTGGTGCAGATCAGCAGCAGAACAGATCAACAGAGCTGAGAGCAGGGGGAGCACGCTGGTGTATTTTGTTCAGTGCACCACGCTGCCTTTTCCCATGGCAGGTTGTGGGGATGAGAGACAGGTCAGCAGCTGGCAAGGGACCTATAGAACCTGAATTCAACATGTAATGCTTTGACTGGTAGGCAAAACCTTCTAATGCTCAGCCTGGAGCTGGACTATAGTAGCGTTGGTTTGCTTACCTGGAATTGCCAGCAGTTCTTGCGCAGCTCCGTGAGCCAGTACATGAAATACGTGGTGGGTGATGTCCTGTGCGGCCACGGGCAGAGCTGGATGAAGCTGCTTGGAGTCCCACCTGCTGAGAAATTCTGATGTCACCAAGTCAGGTTTCATTACAATTCACTTAAAACCAGATTAATGAAAAATACATCAAGGCTTTGAACTGGGGATGTAAAAACATTGTGCTTTAAGCATTTTTCAGAATGAATTATGAGTGCTGTAGAACCTTATGAGTCCTGCTTTCTAATACCATGCCCCTGTTACTCTGCACAGCCTGTGTGTGCCGGACAGGCACCATGCTCTGTGAGGCACTGGGATCCTTTTGGTCTTGGGTTGTTCATATGACATAGTTAGAGGAGAGACAGCAAGGAGACCAATTTTATAACCAAGAGGTAAGCGTGAAATACAGGAGCTAGGATCTCCATTTCATTGCAGAAGGAATTGCAATTTAATGTCAGGTAAATTCAAGATGACGTTTCAATTCAGCTCAGCAAATTCACTGTTTCGGTTCATGTGGAACCAACCTGAAATGAAATCTCCTTCTGAGATAATTTCCTGTGGAATTTATTAGGAACTTCGTTTTCTTTTGAGAACTTCATTTTCTTTCTCTTTTGAGAATCATTCATAGTGATGAACGATTTCGATGTAGCTCTAGTACCGTGGCCTGGGTGACAAATTTTATTACAAATTTCCACTCTTTTTCCATCAGAGGCGACAAGAGTAATCTAGATCCTAACATAAGACTGAGAACTACCTAACTATCTTTTGATTTTGTTTTTTTTTGTTGTTGTTGTTTTTAAATAGTTGATATTTACTGTAACAAATGTATTTTGGTGAGCAGATAGCATAGTGTGACTATCTGTGCATGGATGAGGGCCTGAGAAGTGTAATATTTGTTCAAGTAGAATCACACGTTTGTAAGAGATAGCTCATGGGGTGCACATATTAAAGGGTATATGTCAGAAACAGAGTCACAAAGGCACGAAATAGACTGCAAGTATACCCAGTCAAATTAAGCAGGCTTTAATAAATGCTTTGGGAACTCCCTAGGTACAAAACATGACTGTACAAGAAGATTCAGGGTCATAAAGACATAGCAAATTGTTTATTTTAAAGTTTTCCAGTTCTGTCTTAAAGGAAACAATTTACTTGAACTGGCTCTGACAACACACAACTTAGCACATACTAAAACTTTGAAGCTAATGCCTGGGAATATGCACAAAAACCAAACTGCAAGCCACCTGCCTGCCTCCTTCTTCTCATTGTATTTGACTTCAACCACTGTGGATCTGGAGGCACGTTTGATAAGACAGCCTGGTTCCCCTCTCATGTAGCTGTGTAAGTAGAGTAAATCTAGATGATCGTCTCTATCTTTACACAACCACCACTCCCACAGACAGCGCTGAGCCTGTTTAAAGGCTTTACACCCACCATTTCTGAGTATTCTGCCTGTACCTGAGAGAAGCCTTTCATCTCTCATCCTTCTTGGCGGAAGTGGTTAGAAGACATAACTCTCAAAGGCAGCGTACCTGCTTGGATAACTGATGAACAAAAGGAAAATAGAGCAATAAATAGTCACAGAGATGTGAAATGCACCTGCCTACACAGATAAGTCAAAAGCAAGAGTATTGAAAAGCCAGCGATGCATGCTTAGACAGAGCTAAGCAAAGTGCAGGTCACCTTCTGTGAAGCCAAGTAAATGTTGATAGTCTTCAGGTACCTGACCTTGGGTGAGTCTGTGGGGATCCAACATCCTACATGGTGTGGAGGGCACGTTAAGGACCCCAGAATGGAATCAGGACCACGGTGGCACTCGCTTCCTAAGAGGGAAGCAGTTAGATGGTATTTAAGTGAAAGCTGGGCTGGCATAATGTTTTAGGGGGACTAAACTGCAGACGGATGCCTGGGTATGTTCAGAGACCACCCACAGGATCAGTGACTTCAGATATATTTAACTTGGCATTGAAAGCTAGGAAGTGACAGGTTCTGCTTCAAGTTGAATTAATTAGTTAAAGGCAAGGCAGCAAATCATCAGTAGTTTCAGGAGCAGACTCAAATTTTTATGTACTCAGATTCTAATCAAGTCCTGTTTTAGCTCTGATTAACCATCACGTTATCTTAATATAGGTACATCCCACAGTATTTTAAACACAACCTTCAGATCTTGCAGTGCTTAATTATGCTAGAGAAAATCAAATCCACTCTCCTTAGCACCACATAGTGTTTACTTTTCTCAAGAGCCACAGACTGCCAGACTTTCAGGGGTCACATGTGTTTTAATGTTTAGGAGAAGAATCCTTCACTGAAGAATTGCGGCTTGCATGCTGGCTAAGGGTACTTGCAAAGAGCAGGATTCTGCCATGGGAAGTTTTAAGAGCAGTAACACTGCAGTGCTGGTGCTGATGTAACCAATCAGTTCACCCAATGCAACTCATCTGCTCCTTGGAATACATATCCCATATAATGATCAGATTATTTGGTAAGACACTGATCAGATTATCTTGAAAAGCACAGGCATTCATGAGAGCCAGACACTGGCTGCCCAGCACAGATGCATCTTATGATAGCTACCCAATTACACGATTATTTGTCTGATGCAGGGTAAACATTATCTCTAGATCAGTCAAGAGGTAACATAGCTACAATAGGGTTTCTTTTTTCTACTCTTCTGGTTACGCTTCTACCTGTTAGAAGAATCAGTTCCAAGAACAGGCATCCACCTTGTACAGCCACAAACCAAAAGCCACTGATTCATACTGAAGATGATCCATTTATGAAGAGGAATAGACAAATCAACCCCCTGGCAAGGCAGGGACCAGAACTGCCAGTGCTGCAGGTCCTCCCAGGGCTGTATGCTGAGGTTTGAAACTTCTGCAGTAACGTGATGCTGAGGAAGGCACAGGACCACAACTGTGCAAAACCTTTTTGAGGAAGATGGTGTGTGCTGATACTTAGCAGATGGTAGCGCGAAAACACCAAAAAGCAGAAAGAGGAGGTGGGGAAGTCCACTTGCTGTTGATTGTCTAAAAAGGGTGCTGCAAGCATGTGAGAGACGGGAAAGGGGATGCCTGCTGCTGGCAGTTAGAGAGATTTGTTACATGGTAGGTGAGCACCTTCCCTAGGAAGGGTCTAGCAGAAAAGATGGAAACTTCCCCCTTTCCTACAGCATCAAGCTCTGACAGATGAAACGGGATCTATTGTGGGGAGAGAACAATAAAGGAGACTCTTTCCTCTTGTCCGCTTACCACAAATTCTCATATTCAGGTGCAAAAGCAGAGTCTGCTTCATTTTATTGAGTTCTCAGTAAAAAAAGTGTGTGTGCTGGTGCGTGTGTGCACAGCCCTCAGCGGGAGGCACTGAGGAAGCACCTGAACTCATCGTGTGTCTGAAGGGAGCACAACTTTCCACTGCTGGTGAGAGCCCGAGGAGAAGGAGGAGGGTCTTCTAAATGTCACTGACAGCAGGGCACGTCACTGGCTTCTTGCAGAGCCGCAGGAAGTATAAAAGGCAGAGCTTCCCAAAGAGGGTCTCTGGCAGGAGCTGCTTCACACCGAGGCTGCGCCGGGACGTACGATGCTCTCACTAACCTTGTGACTTCGTTTCTGTTTGAAACAAGACCATGGACAGTGGTGAGTACCCCTGCTGCAGCCTCTGGCTTTGCCTTCAGCCTTAGTAATGAGGACGATGCCCAAATTCATGCGCTATGACACAGGGATGAAGCACTTTTAACAGAGTAATCAATACAAAAAGTTTTATTCTTCCTCGCATGTACTATGAACAAAAAGAAATCTACTCAAAGCTTTTTCATAGGCTCAGCAAACTCAAGTCAATTACTTCAGAAACATTAAAAAAAAAAAAGGCTTGGAGGGAATTTCAAGGGGGCTTCTCTGACCCAAAGCAAGCGAGCTCTTCTCATATCATTCCTATCTTTTTTCATGTTCCTTTAAATAAAAAAATAAAAAATAAAAAAAAATCTTAATTCCGTGAATAAATCAAGGGATTCAGTTTATTTTTGGCTAAACTTGCCCAATCTTACGCAAACTGTCTATAAATGAATATCTTTACAGCAACCACAAAACTTTGAACTGTTCTAAAATATGTGGCTTTGCTGGAGTAGCCCTGAGCTGGGGTCTGCATTCCAATGGAGTGCTCCATCACCAAGCGCACAGAGCAGAGCAAGTAATCGAGAACCATCAGCTCTTTGGCACAGGACATCTCCGTTAGCCCAGGAGGCACAAGACTCGTTTCTGTCTCTTGCAGAAAGTTTTCAACATTTTGTTATTTGTTATTGTCACTTCACATCCAGTGCTCTGCAGGCACCGACTTCACAGAGCGTGAGTGGGTGGTGGGCTGTAGGCGGCAAACGCCGTGGGTCAGAGATGTGGAGATGAGATACAAGCTCTTTTCTTTAAGACTGTATGATTTATTCCTTTGTTTTGTTTTGCTTTGTTTTCATATTTGCAAACACTAATTCCAGGGTGAATGAGGGAGGTGCAGGGAAGAGGGACAAATGTAATAATACCTCATGAGGGTGAATTAAACCAGATTAACCAAAAGGGGTTTATAACACAACTAATGCCAGGCAACGTGGTCAAGAGTTGTAATAAGGATGGTGAGAGGGACTAGGATGTTAGCCACAGAGTTCATTCCAGTAAAGCCCTACTCCACATGTAATGAATGGTCCTTTGCCATAATACGGAACAGGAGGGGTCTGCCTTTCTTCTGGGATATTTTCAAATCAAAGCTTTGAATTAATTGGGATGTGAGAGGATTCTCCATACATTTCAACACTGCAGCAAGCAGTATGAAGGCAGGTGCAGATGTCCTGTGTCAAGCACTGCAGACACAACTAGACAGCCTGTGAATGCTGAGGTTTGAGTGCCCAATTCCCTGCATGTGCCTTGGGCTGTAGCACAAGAGTAAAGAGTATTGGACTCTCCATTTTTTGAAGAATTTGTGAAATGGAGATGCAAAACTTTAACTCATGCGATATCACAGAGAAAGCTAGCCTCGTACGGTCAGGGAACATAACCACTTCTGGTATCTTTGTCCAGTGTTTCAGCCCCCAAACTATTCCTCATCTTCCAGGCAGGGCTTTCTCCTCTTGGAAGGTCTGCAGTGATCTCTGGATTAAGCAGAGGGGGTTCCACTTGCAGTGTCCAAATGTAAAGCAACAAACCTGTGCTGAGTTAGGTAGGGGAGCTCATGGCTCTCAACCTGACAGTGATGAAAAGCAGCTGGGGGGTGCAGTATGCTCCTGCTTGGTGCAAAATGGGGTACTGGACCCCACGGGATCCACGAGGCAGAAGCAGGGAATGGGAAGAGGGAGTCTTCTCATGAATGCATCCTCAGAGCTTCTAGCAATCAGTGGTTTAGGAAATTCCTGAGCCAGAGGCTGCATACAAACCAACGTGTCATAACCCAACTGGAGCTGTTGGCCATAAATCACAATTTGTGATCTCGTTTAAACTTTTGGCCCCTGTAACACCATGAAGTTGTGTTGTAGGTCTCCTGTTTAATGGGGGACAGCTGTTAGTCTGACCTTAGTTAATTGGTAAAGGCTATCTATGACAGAAAAATGAAAAAGAATTAGTGAGAACCTGATTAAGAGTATGGCAATTTTCATGCTTCAGGTTCTCTGTCCTACTATTGTGTTTCAAAGGGATAGTCCAAAAGAAATATTTATCAGCGTTGGAATATGAACAGCATTGCTGTTAGATAGTTGTATACAAAAGATCGGCTCACTTGACAATTTTTTAAAATTTGCTTATCTCTGTTTATCTTACCTTTTGATTCACAGTTTCTTAAAGGAGGTGGAGACAGATAACCAACTTCTACACAAATGTATGAATGTAGGAAATAGAAGTAGTTCTGTTATGCTCATTTCAGCAGTGAAAATGCTCATCTTTCCTTTGTCAGTTGTGAGAAACACAGGGGGAAGAAGGGGGGAGCAGGCACTGAGCAGTTAACTGCCAAAAGTCATTATATTATTTAACTATGATTAATTCTTCTCAGAAATATCCGGTTCTTTCCCCAAAAGCCTACCATACTGATGGTGAAAAGGCATCAGAAACTGGTGTATGGGTACAGCTATCAATAGTGCATTACTCACTGCCTACACGTGTGCTAAGATACTTGAAACTCAAACTTTTACTTTGCAGTCCTGGCCAACAGCAAAAACAAATAAATAACCAGAGCAGGTTTGCCTAGCTTTGCAGTACTCACAAAAGCATTTCTGAATCTTGATTTTCACATTGCACATCCCTCAGCACCAACAAAGGCGAGCAGCTGCTTCCCCACAGTTAGAGCTGAATCCGTTTGGGAAGGGCTGACCTGCAGAACAAGAGGGAGTCCCTTGTTCAGAAGGAGCCCCAGTGATTCCCTCTGCAGGATTGCTTGTCCAGTTTAAAACATCCTACTTGGTTGTGTTTCTGCTCCTCCTTCCACCTCTGGGGAGACTTTGCCACCAAATCCTTCTTGCTGTCAGAAGTTCTTCTGCTGTTACTTAGCAATCATTTCTCTTTTTTCCTAATTCCATGCTTGAATCTCTAATTCTGGGCCTATCTGTGGGGATTTGCTGCTACTACTGCTTATTTTATCTTGCTTAATATTGGCTCCTGATGCTGACTGAGATTCAGATAAACTGCATGGCATTCATATGTCCAAACCTACAAGCCCACGCTTCTGCCACAGCGTGAAATGAACCGTACCATGACCGCCTTAAAAGCATTTTCATTCCCTTTGCTATCAAGGGAGCCTAAGCAATTAAGCAGATGCTGATGGCTAAAATAAAGTAAGATGAATCCCAGTCCTCGTGCTTACTCCACAGACCAAGATTTCCAAATGTGATCTGCTGCTGCCTGATGTCTCCGAGCACTGCCATCAGCAGCTGCACATGTCCATCTGTGAGCGAAGAGGTGCAGACACAGGGCAGTTTTAAGCAGCTTTCAGAATTGCTGCCACCTTTCACAGGAGTGAGCTGGTGGAAGTCATCTCCTCACCGTCCATCTGACAAAAGCTGTGCTGGGATATTCCCAGAGAGTAGAACCCCTTCCCTCTTTCTCTTGCTCTAAGCAGTTCTCCTTTCCACCGTGTTTTCCCAGGATGGGAGCAGATCAGTGCATCACCAGGGCTGGGGGCTTACTCAGGGCTTTACAGCATGCATTGACTCATAAACTGTAATTTTTTGTTGTTGTCTTTTTCTAAGTAAGGTTGTTAGTTCAACTGTTTGCGGGGACTTTTGAGAGGGTTTTTTCTTAATATTTTGAGGAACGAAACTTTACGAAAATACCCGCAGCCGAGAACTGCCAGAGGCAAGAAAAAGTAAAGCTACCTAAAATTGCCCATTTAACGCCAAAGCGGGTCTCGTTTCCTCTCTGCAACCCATTTGCTTCTGCTCCCCTCTCCCTTCCCCCACCGCCCTGGACTCCTAAGAGCACTGCAGCCAGAAGTGACCTTCGTCAATTGACCTGAAACCAGTGACTCAGGGACCCGCTCGACAAAGTAGTGTGGGAGACCACGAGGCTGAACTGCATCACCAGTTGTGCCTCTGCAAATGCGTAAGCTGAGGTGGGGGGGCAAGAAAGAGAGGAAGGAACGGTGCAAGCTCTTTTTATATTGAAAATAGTTTGACATTTAAGATACCTAAAACAGCAACCGAGGGAAAAAAAGATTGTGAAGTTCTTCAAAGGAATGATACTTAGCTGAACTGTTTCAGAATCGTTAGTTGAGTCACTCTGTTATCAGTCCCGTTTCGTTAGACACTTCAAAGTGTGCTTAAGAAACATCCTCACTGCTGCTAGGCATTCAAGATTTTTCAGTTTAAGCAGGGGCTGGACTGGCCCTGGGAGGTGAAGGGGATGCAACAACCAACAGAAGAAAATAGTATTGCACTTGGAGGGCAAGAGCCTGGGGATGGCCGTGTTGGTGCATCAGTCTGGCACTAGGAGGCACCGTGGTTGTGCTCTTTGTGTGGAAAAACTGAGCAGAGTACGATTGAAGTTGGTGTCCTTCCCATGGAGGCTCAGAGTGGCTCTCCTCTGCCTCCTCTTTATACAAATTCTCAGGAGTTAACTATTTTTGAGGCCTCAGCCCCTGACAAACGGGGCTGACAGTGGCCAGCAGGGGTAATAATTAGTAGACACCATGCTAATAAGACAGTGGTAAAGATCATTTAGGATCCAACAGTTGTTTTCTTTTGCACGGGTCAGAGACCCCATGCCGGTGTCCCAGTTAGGGAAGGCTACAACATCTTAGGCTTTCTTTAATGTGCTGGGTAAATTTAAGTGGTTTGGGCTTTTGGTGCATTTCCTGTGTGTGATATGCAAAAGTTCGAGAAGCATCTTTAAGGGAGAGCTGGCTACATCTGGTGCTCACCAAAGCTCTTCCTGCAGTCTGGGACTGGTCAGACCGCAAGACACTGGACAGCCAGAAGCATTTAGCCAGGTCTCCTCCTTTCCCCTCAAGCTTAATCTTGGCCAAGCTACCTTGACCTACTCTCCTCCTGCACTAATGAGGCACTTCTACATGTTTTAGGCTCCCCCAGGAGGATTCAGAGGTGAGGGGTCTAGTAACATAACTAAGCACCCAGGAGCACGAGGAT